TAAAAACTTAAATTTTGGAAACCTTGTGATTGCTGCCATGAGCCTTGAGAGTATCCAACTATTGAAAAGCTTTTTTCATGACACTGGTGTGGATATTAGCAGATGTGATTTTTTTTTTTTGTCATTTCGTAAGGAAATGTGTTAACATTTCAAACTCTGTGGGGGTCCATGAACTGATATTTATATTTTCCAAATGATTAATGCATGATTTTATACAATTATATATGGATAAAAGATCTAGTCAAAGTAAAAGGTAGTAAAATGTATTTTAATGTAACAGAATACAAATATTTCATTGTTATGGTTCAGATTCTACATTGCAGCGAAACTTAAGAAACTACTACATGTTGGGGCGCCTGCGTGGCTCAGTTAAGTGTCCAACTTTGGTTCAAGTCAAGATCTTGTGTTTTGTGGGTTAGAGCCCCACATGGGGATCTCTGCTGTCAGCCCAGAGCCCTTATCCAATCATTTGCCTCCCTCTCTCTCTGCCCCTCCCCCATGTGCGCCCATGGGTGCACTCTTAAAAAAACCTACTACATGTTGAGTTTTGGTGTAGTACTAAGGAAGACTTATATCCACGTTATCTGAAAAGGCTATTAAAGTATTTCCCCCTTTTCCTTTCTCTTTGTCTGTGGGAGACAGGAATGCCTTCACATACTTCAAACGAAATAACATACCATAATATATTGAATGCAGAGGCAAAGTTGAGAATCTGATTTTCCTTTAAGCTAGATACTTACCACCAAATTATTTTTATTTGAAGAAACATGATTTCCATTAAAGCTATTTTTGTGTTACAGTAACACATAGTGGATTTATTAATATTATTCTTAAATGAATATACATCTCATTAAAAATTTTTTTTTGAGAGAGCACGCTTGTGCTCAAGTGGGGAGGGGCAGACTGAGAGGGGGAAGGAGAGGGAGAATCCTAAGGAGACTCCACACACAGCACAGAGCCTGATGTGGGCTTGATCTCACCACAGTGAGTTCATGACCTGAGCAGAAATCGTGAGTCGGACACTTAACTGACTGAACATCGCAGGTGTCCCTCATTTTAATTTTAATAAGGTAAATAAAAAACAAAATAGATGTTAACAAAAATAAACAAAAGTTCTTTTGGGTCCTTAATATTTTTTAAGAATGTAAAGGAATGCTGAGACCAAAATGTTTAATGACACTTCTCTCAACTCTAGATTAGAACAGGTGCCTCTCTACCTATAGAGTGATATTCCTTAATATATTAGTATTGTCTCAGTACAGTCGTTACCATTTCATTTTTTCATTTGTTGATATATTCAACACATAATTACTGTGTACCTTCTGTCCTGTTAGGTCATGGGAATTATTTCAAGAAAAGATTCTGTCCCCTGCTTATTTTTAAGCTTCTCTAAAGCCAGGTCTGAGTGCTATAGTTCTTTTTATTTCCCTAATTACGGTAAAGTTATTTAATATTGGTTTTCTCTTTCCTCTTTTCAACTTTATAGATATGGAAATGTGGCTTGGTATTTGTTTTCATGTTTTTGCCATTTGTTACTAGGACAGAATTTGGCTAATATTTAAACAAGTACACCATTTATCCACTTCCCTTTCTTTCTAGTATGTTTGAAATCATGGAAGAGGTAAATACCTTTCAGCATTTTGTGTATATGCAATTTTATACAAATGGTAGGGATGAGAGACAAGAAGGGCATGGGTAAGAGAGAGAGATGAAAGTCTTTAACAAGGTGTCTGTAGAGTGTTTTCCAGATCTATCCCTCACTTTTGTAGGGGCAAGGCAAGAGTACAGACAACTGCACAGCATATGTAATCTATTTAAAAGTTTTAAATTAGGCACATATGCTATTTGCTAATTGCTCTTGGCCATCCTTTGGACCTAGGATTGCACACTCTGGTTCTTTGGGAAAAGAGTTCTGAGGTCATGGTCACGTGAAAGGAGGGATGGTAAGGTCCAGAGAGGCCTGTCCTGTGTTACATTGGATTCCTTGTAGTGGTGAGGCATGCAGCCAAAAAGGGATTGGAGGGGATACCTTTAAAGTGCATACCTCAAGACTAGGACCTTGTTTGTCCATGTCTAAGGGCAAGGCTGGTATGGGCCATATATTACTTATATTAGAATCTCCAGCAGTGCTTCTTAAAAATGCAATTTTGTAGACCCCATCCCAGACCTGAATGAATAGAGAGCAGTACGGTGCAAAGGTAGGTGTTATGAGCGTCAATAGACATAGGTTATGTTTTGAGGGATTTTTTGGGGCAGACATATGAGTTTCTGCTTAGCATCAGTATTTCATTGTGGCTGTTAAAAATGTCTTTCTAAACATTTGATCTAATTTAATTCTCTTAGCAACTCTTTGAGGTTTTTATTCCCATGCTTCAGAATGTATTCTGTAATGCCATTGGGGAATTTGAATCTCGAAATGGCCTTAGGATATTCCTTCTCTAATGCCAAGTTCCTACGTATTTTTCACCAGTATGTGCAATTAATAATGTTATGGATTAAATATACTTATGTCTACATCAAAAAGGAAAATACTTTTTGTGAAATGTGAGGCGAATATTGAAGGCCTAGGAGGGGAAATCCCTTCTGAATTTTGAAGAAAATACTATCTTTTTAATAAAATGAATTCACATTAAGCAGAATGAATTTTATTATGCAAGTTAAACCTGAATATTTAATGATGACTTATAAAGTAGTTACTAAAAATGCATGTTAGTAACTTTGTGTGCATGTAACAATATCATCACATGTGCATTATAGTGTTGTTGATAATTTGCATTTGCAGTGCTTTTTCAAAAAATAATTTTCGGTTTCTAGAATAACAATATTGTCTACAGAGGTGCCTGAGTGGCTTAGTAGGTTGAGCATCCACTCTTGATTTAGGCTCAGGTCATGATTCCAGGGTCATGGGATGGAGCTCTGTGTCAGGCTCCACGCTGGGCAGGAAGCCTGTTTAAGACTCTTTCTCTCTCTCTTTCTCTTTCTCTCTCTTGCTCCCTCTCTCCAACTCTCTCTCCCTGTCTCCTTTTGCCCCTCCCCAGCTTGGGTATGTGTGCTCTCTCTCTCTCAAAAAATAATAATACTGTCTACAGAGAAGTTATGGATCAAGTTGATAATTGTATAAAAACACCTATATTGTTTTTGGAAAGTATTGTTTAAAAGGAGTGAATGGTCAAATTTAGAAGTAACTAATAATAGTCCTGTGAAACCAATAATGAAGTCATTTACTAACTTAAAAAAAATTGTGGTCTCACGCCTAGAAAGTGCTATTTAGTAGCAGGGGTGAGAGGGTGGAGCTAGTTACTGCTAACCATACAGTACTCTAGTTGTTTCCCACAGTTAATATTAACTACTGCAGATTTGTAATTTATAATGTGAAAGCAGTTTAGTCCCTGGGATTACCTGGATTATTTAGTATTTTGCATCTCTGTGAAATACTGAATGGCCGCTTGTTCCTGGAATCGTATGAACTTTTTGGGCAGCTATTTTGGGAATTATTTCATACAACTGAAATGTCTTCCTAATGATACTGTTTCTTTTCTAAAAAGGAATAGCCTAGGATTCAGTTTTGGCTTGCATAGACAAATTAACATAGTGTGGTGAAGAAATGGGGCCCGGACTAGAAGAGTTAATCTTTAAGTTCAGCTTGAGCTGTGTGTGCTGATCCTTTTCTGCTTCTTGTTAATTGGCGCCTCAGACTCCCTACTAATTAATGGGAGAGCATGGGGCAGGTGGCGCCATTTTATTTTGATAATCCTTGTCATCAATGTCCACGTAATCTTCTTGTTTAATTATAATGAATGTGCATTTGGGGTGCGTGAACTTTTAACAGCTTTTTTTCACTGGAAGTTCACTGGTCAAGGACAGTTTTGCAACTGTCAGATGCTACTATGTATTGCAAACAAAGACACTTGTTTTAGCTTTTTAGTTGTTAATTCACACAAGTGGCAGTCACTAAATGGAGGTGCTGTGTGCTTTTTAAAAACTAGACGGGAATAACTCTAGCCAGAGAAATTAAAGAAATCTGTGCTTCTTTTAATTGTGTGTGTGTGTGTGTGTGTGTGTGTGTGTGTGTGTGTGTGTGTGTGGAGTGAGGGTAAGAAATTTTGTTTAAATAGGGACATTTAATTTTAAGAGTACTTAATGGATAAAAATATTAGAGTAATGTTTTCTCTGGAAGGAAGAGCTGAGGCAGGAAGTCAAAATAAATGGAACTGATTTACTTAAGAATTTGCAAGTTTTAGCTGTGAAATGACCAGATAAATGATTCTCTTGGAGAGTGGATAGCTGTTAGAAAATGCGTACTTTGCTCATTTCCATTTTAAAGAGACTGCTCTTGCTTTCAGGTATAAAGATGGGTTTAGGTAAAAATAAATTCAGAGTAGTTTTGAAGTTTGGGGACAAGTCTTAAAATTGTGTTCCAAGCAATGCATTATTTATTTGGGGGAAGTGGGAGAAAAGCAGGGAGGAAGAAGTCAAAAAACACCTCCTTGGCTGTTAATACCTTGAAACTTAGTGGAAAGGAAATAACACCCAATTTATACGAACTCCAATGTAAACAAACAGGAGCTATGATGGGAAATAGCACCAGGGCCAATTTATAAGACTTGGTCCATGTTCATTTTTCAGATAAAACTTCCTGTACTTACTCCTACCCATTATGGGCCAGACCAAAACCAAAATAAATCTTCCTCAAATGGTATAGGGAAACATTTTAATTGGGTGATGTTTTTGGAAAATCAGAAATCGTTATTTCGCTATTGGTACCTTGATAAAATTTCATGTACTATTTCAAAGTGTAAATTTTTATGAACTTGGATGTTAATTATATACTTACAGTTTAATAATGATAACAGTGTTTTGGTATATAATATTTTTGTGTCTAATCAGAGAATCTTGACTTAATGTAAATTTACAGTTAAAATTAAAATCCAAATCTGTGGTCTTCACCTAAATAGGTGGTTCTCCACCTAGAGGCAGATTTCTTCCCTCTCCCCACCCAGGGACATATATCCATGTCTGGAGACGTGTTTGATTTTTACGACTGGGAGGCGGTGCTACTGGCATTTAATGAGAGAAAATAATGGATGCTGTTAAACATCCTAAAATGCACAGGACAGCCCCCCACAAAAAGAATTATCTGGCCCAAAATATTAATATTGCTGGGATTGAGAAACCTGCCCTACCTAAATGATGCTTTCTACTGATGAAACACTACTGATTTGTAATCTGTGGATTGTGAAGATACTGGAAATTACCTGAAGAAATGCTACATTGAAGGAAACGATCATATGTAGGTATGTAAGTATTGGGTTGTATAGGATTAACTAATATATAACACCTTCCTAATTTTATTTTGTTCTCTCCCTTTCAAATGACAAATTTTTGTCCTGCAATAAGTGATTCACTATGAGGAGCGATGATTAGTAAACTAAACGGTTAACAAAATCATGGTAATCATTTTGCAATATGTACATATATCAGAAGTGTTATGTTGTACACCTTAAACTAGTACAATGCCGTATCAATTATAGCTCAGTGAAACGGGGAACAAAAGTGTCTCATGGGGGAAATAATCTGAAATCTCAGGGGAAAGAGCAGTTACACATGTGTTGTAGGTTTTTCTCTCAGTATTGACTATATATATTCAAGATAGAAGAAAGCGCAGTGTTTACTTGGCCTGAAAGGAATGCAGTGTGGCCAGGAATGATATATGCCAGATCGCATGCTGCTGTGCTTATAAAGCCTGCAACTTCCTTGGTGTGGAATAGCTGTTTGTTAGATGACTTCCTCCTCCTCCTCCTCCTCCTCCTCCTCCTCCTCCTCCTCCTCCTCCTCTTCTTCCTTCTTCCCCCCCTCCTCCTCCTCCTCCTCCTCCTCCTTCTTCTCCTTCTTCTTCACAGAGAGAGAGAGAGAGAGAGAGAGAGAGAGCACACAAAGAGGGGAGAGGCAGAGAGAGAGAGAGAATCCCAGGTGGGCTTTGCACTGTCAGTGTGGAGACCGATGCAGGACTCAAACTTGCAAACCCCGAGATCAAGACCTGAGCCGAAACCAAGAGTCACATGCTCAACTGACTGAGCCACCCAGGTGCCCCTAGAAATTTTCAGAAAGATTTTAACCTAGCAGCTAAATTCAGGCCTCAGTTCATCTGATTTGAAAAGTTTTTCCTCTTCTTTTATTCCTATATGATTTTTGTCAACCTGTGATAAGTAGAGAAAGATTTAAACCAGGCATTTATTTATTATCAAAACAAGAGCTTGATTCCAAATTAAACAGTTTAAATTTTATTGGCTCATTATTATTTTTCTTTAATGATAAGAATGCAACTAAATATATGCTGAGTAGTATATACCAAGTGTCCTTTTTTGGTGTTCTGCTGTTCAAAAGTTGCTACATCAGTTCTTGTTGACTTCCTTACATCATAGGGAAGATATACAATGTAAAAAATTTAAAGTTATATAATACTTTATGTAATATATGTAAAGCATATGTAAATGATGGCGTGTAAAAATGTTTCTGAACTCACCACTGTACCTAAGAAATTTAACATTAACATTGTTAGTGCTGTTTGAACATTGGCTGAAATAGACATGTTTGCATTTTGAGCTGATCTGTTCTTAGGTATTATTGGCAAAGCATGTTGTATTTAAAGAGCTCAACAGAAAATTAATATAAACTAAATATGTGAGAAGCAAGAAAGATTTCGGTTAACCTGTATATTCCCCCAAAATAGCTTTCTAAAGAAATGAAAAGTAACTTGTTTGGCACATAATTTAGTAGTTTTTTTTAATGTCTTATTCCCTGGGAGAGGAGAAATGGGACCAGGGCTGAGGCCCGCAGTGCTGTAGGGAACTTGTTGGATGGCAGGAGGCTTTGTCCACAGAAACATGAGGGCTCATTCAGCTTGGTGACTGCAGTATATTTTATAAGGAAACCTATGTCTAAAAATAGATGCTGAATGAAACTTCTTTTAGAGCACAGGGCCATATGGTTGTTAAAGGGCCACTTTGTTTTATTGGAAAGAAAATATGAAAACTCCCCATTTGGAAGCAAGTCTTAGTAGTGAGTGTTAGAAAATGTCTTTTTGTGCACTGTTAGTAGTAGGTAAGTATTTCAAAACAGATGTGTTTTCTAACCACATTGATTAAAAAACTACCTTAATTGACATTTCTCAGATTCTGTTACAGTGTACTTTTTTTTTTCTTTTTTCTGAATGATAGTAGCAATCATATATAATCATTGAGCAGGGTTTTTTTTTCCTCTGAATTTTGGCAGATGTTTAATATTTGAAACAAAATATGAAATTGAAGAAAATTGTACTAAAGTTCCAGATGAACTTTTATTTAGTCTTTAAAAAATCACGTGATATGCCCAGTCCAGAGTTTTAATGTTCTATTCTCTGACAAGAAAATATGTTTATTTCTGTGATGTTTATAAGCACATGCCCCTATGTAGTCGATTTCTGAGGCAGCAATGCAATTTCTGAAATCTGAGTTTATAAAAATACTTTGAGGATTAAGTTCTAAATGTGACTTTATGAAACCAATACTAAAATAGTATATGTCATACAACTACCACTGTTAGTTTAAATGAATGACAAAGATGTAATACAAAGTCTGTTTTCAGGATGATAGAGGGAAAGAAAACAACCTGATTTATTCCAGGAAGGACTGGGTTCTGGATCACCAATAATGTCTTGGAGCTCAGGTTAAATATATATATATATATATATATATATAGTGAGTGGAAACTACCCTGTTAACTGGTCATACTCTGAGGTTATAATTGAGGAAAACTTGAAATGCTTTCTTTCCTTCCATGAGCACAGTGTATCTTTATAGTAAAATTGCCACTAACTTCATTCTCCTTAATCTGAGAATATTACCCATTTCCAATGAAAAGCCCATAGGGCTCAAAATAAATGAAACCTACCATGTTTCCGTTTAAATACACACACACACACCCAAAACTTTCCTCCATACTCTTTCTTCTCTCTCCTTAGAGACCTCTGCCTTCTCCTATACAGCATATGACTGCCAGCAAAACTTCTAGTATGGTAAAATGTTTTAAATTTATATGTTCTTTCCAGCTCTTATGTCAGAGACCCTTGAACTTAACTTCAGTTCTAGAAGCAGTGATGGCAACCTTCAACACTTACTTCTTTTAAAGTGTGTCTCTATGCATTTGTGTAATACATTTTTGGGTTCCCTGGCTTTGAAACATAGGCCGTAAATGAAACAGACCTTTCCCACAAAATGTACTGTAATAGATGCATGTTTATACACATGAATGAGAAGTATATTTACAACAGGTTCTAATGTAAGGACTTTAATTTTGTGCAGTATCTTTCACATGTGATATGTCATTTATTCAGTGGGACAATATTGTGTGGCATAAGGGGATTTCCATTTTATGGCAAGAACCAATACAAGCAGCGTTAATCGCAGGAGGGGGGAAATCTGTGACCCTTAATCTGAGGCACTTTCCCTCAGACCATACTAAAAATTCTATTTTAAAATCCAGCAAAATGACACAACTTATTAATAGTACTGTTGAATTCAGAATTGCTGAAACTGTCTATAATTTAGCCCACGGGGCCAACACTCTTAGCTACTTGAATAATAATGATTCTTAGTAGCTAATATTTTAGAGTCCATATTTGCATACTGCATATTTTTTCTGTAATTAAGGAATATGTAACAATGTATCCATCTTTTTTAAATTTTTATTTTTTATTTTTTAAAATTTACATCCAAATTAGTTAGCATATAGTGAAACAATGATTTCAGGAGTAGATTCCTTAATGCCCCTTACCCATTTAGCCTCCCACAACCCCTCCAGCAACCCTCAGTTCTCCGTATTTATGAGTGTCTTCTGTTTTGTCCCCCTCCCTGTTTTTATATTATTTTTGTTTCCCTTCCCTTATGTTCATCTATTTTGTCTCTTAAAGTCCTCACATGAGTGAAGTCATGATTTTTGTCTTTCTCTGACTAATTTCACTCAGCATAATACCCTCCAGTTCCATCCATGTAGTTGTAAATGGCAAGATTTCATTCTTTTTGATTGCCAGGTAATACTCCATTGTGTGTGTGTGTGTGTGTGTGTGTGTGTGTGTGTATCACATCTTCTTTATCCATTCATCCATCGATGGACATGTGGGCTCTTTCCATACTTTGGCTATTGTGGATAGTGCTGCTATGTTTATTACATGGGAGTGCATGTGTCCCTTCAAAATAGCACACCTGTATCCCTTGGATAAATGCCTAGTAGTGCAATTGCTGGGTCTTAGGTAGTTCTATTTTCAGTTTTTTGGGGAACCTCCATACTGTTTTCCAGAGTGGCTGCACCAGCTTGCATTCCCACCAACAATGCAAAGAGATCCTCTTTCTCCACAACCTCGCCAACATCTGTTGTTGCCTGAGTTGTTAATGTTAGCCATTCTGAGAGGTGTGAGGTGGTATCTCATCGTGGTTTTGAGTTATATTTCCCTGATGATGAGTGATGTTGAGCATCTTTTCATGTGTCGGTTAGCCATCTGGATGTCTTCTTCGGAGAATTGTGTATTCATGTCTTTTGCCCATTTCCTCACTGGATTATTTGTTTTTTGGGGGTTGATTTTGATAAGTTCTTATAGATTCAGGATACTAATCCTTTATCTGATATGTCATTTGCAAATATCTTCTCCCATTCTGTCGGTTGCCTTTTAGTTTTGCTGATTGTTTTCTTCACTGTGCAGAAACTTATTTTGATGAGGTCCCAGTAGTTCATTTTTGCTTTTGTTTCCCTTGCCTCTGGAGACATGTTGAGTAAGAAGTTGCTGCGGGCAAGATCAAAGAGGTTTTTGCCTGCTTTCTCCTCAAGGATTTTCATGGCTTCCTGTCTTACATTGAGGTCTTTCATCCATTTTGAGTTTATTTTTATGTATGGTGTAAGAAAGTGGTCCAGGTTCATTCTTCTGCATGTCGCTGTCCAGTTTTCCCAGCACCACTTGTTGAAGAGACTGTCTTTATTCCATTGGATATTCTTTTGTGCTTTGTCAAAGATTAGTTGGCCATATGTTTGTGGGTCCGTTTCTGGGTTCTCTGTTCTGTTCCATTGACCTGAGTGTCTGTTCCTGTGCCAATACCATACTGTGTTGATGATTACAGCTTTGTAGTACAGCTTGATGTCTGGGATTGTGATGCCTCCTGCTTTGGTTTTCTTTTTCAAGATTGCTTTGGTTATTCAGGGTCCAACTTATCCATCTTGCTTTTAGAAAACTTTCTTTTTCTTTTTGATGATGAAAGATGATTGATCT